ACACATAAAACATACAGAGCCAGACATCTTAGTACAGAGGTCGAGCGGAGAAGAGGCAGTCAGAGAAGATGGGGCAGCGGGAGAGGAAGAGGGAGAGGGGATTGGAGCTCGTGGAATTATGTTGTCCCCATCGTACTTCAGGACCCCATGCCAGAAATGATTTCGAGCACCCAGAAAAGTATCGAAACAGTGTCGAACGAGTATCGACTTCCAGGGCACGAGACGTGAAAACCCTCCAGCTTCGGTACTTTCTTGGTGCTCCAATATCGTTCTACGGATCAAGGCTGAAGGAAGTTGAAACAACATCAACGTGGAAGAGAAAAGGCGCTCGACCCCGGCCCTCCCCGTGGCACGGCCCCGCCTTGGGGAAGCAAAAAAGTACCGGTACCGCTACTCCGCGGACCTCCGGGGATGCGTGCTGACCTGAATTTCGAGGCGAATCCAGCGGTGGCGACGAGATGCTCCGAGGAGGCCCAAAAAGGCGAGCACGCGGGAAGGGTAGCGGTATGGCTACCTTTTCCTCCTCTGTGAGGGGCAGCGATCGGGGGGGACTGGCATAGGGGGGACGCATTGACTTAGAATCAGCGATACATCGCAGATAGATCGGCGATAGGCTCCCGATAGTGAATCCTAACGCACGCTGCTGGGCAGGTTGGGATTATCGGGCCCCTATCGGCGAACAATGGGCGATTGGGGGTCGATGCGCCACCCCCTGTGCCCATCCCCCCCCCCTATCGTTGCCCCTGACTCCCCAGACCACCAACGTCGTGATTTTTCCCAGAATCGGCACGTCGGCCCTTCCACGGGACCGGTTTTTTATCCTGAGCCGTTTCTTGACGCTGCCGGAGCCCGGTGAGGGCCCCTGGAGGCCGACGATAGCGAAAAGCCTCCCGTCGTAATTTTTGACACAACGCGAGGGGGTCTGGGTCTGACGCCTGTCCCTTGTGGATGCCATGACAATGGACACCCCAACAATCGTATCATTGAATGAAACATGTGTGTTGATTTGTTTCAAACAAGATCCTAAACATGTTTAGAAACATGCTATCATGTTTAGCACATTTTAGGACATCTGGGAATTGTTGAATCGCTTCGCTCATTCCGCCGCCCCGGGGGCACTCTTTGGGGCCTCTTGAGGCTCCTTGGCGGCGTCTTAGAGGCCCCTGTGGCCTCTTGGGGAGCTCTTTGGGGCCTCTTGGGGCGGGAGGGTGACATCTGGGAATTATTTGGCATCATGCTTCCTCTCCATTGATCCTCCTCCATCCACAACCTGCCCCCCCCCGGGCAGAGCTCGAAGCCCATGTACAGCAGCCCGTGGCCAGGCGCGGAACGGTACAGTCTCGCGGGCAGCCCCTGGGGCGCCGAGGCCGCGCGCCGGCGCTTAGGGCGTGCGCGCGCTCGTCTCGCTGACTCTCCTTCCCCTCTCCGCCTCCTCCTCTTCCTCCTCCTCCTCCTCCTCCTCCTCCTCCTCCTCTTCAGGTTTCGTCCTCTTCCTCTTCCTGCTCCTGTTCCTGCTCCTGCTCCTCGTCCTCCTCTTCCTCCTCAGGCTTCGTCGTCCTCCTCCTGCTGCTGCTCCTCCTGCTCCTGCTACTCCTGTTCCTCCTACTCCTGTTCCTGTTCCTGTTCCTGTTCCTGCTCATCCCCCTCCTCCTATTCCTCATCCTTTTCCCCCCCACCTCCCCATCCCCCCGCCGAGCCGTCAAGGAGCAGAAGACGGCACAAGCACGCGCAGTCGAAGAGCAAACGCAGGGGCTTCAACTTTGGGAGGTCTGCGCGGCATGTCTTGCGCCGGTTGCTACCTAGCATGGGGGAACCGGGTCCAATGGGAAACGGGTCCTCGGTGGCAACTCATGGAAGCCTCTTATACCATCTCGTCGGTTCTTGCGGTTCGACGCTAATCGACGCTAAATCAACGCGAATCAATGCTAAATCGACTCTAATCGACGCTAAATTGGCGTTGTGATATCGACTCCCGCCGTGGGCTTCCACTTTCCGAACTATCTTCGCGGATGGCGTCGAAGATCTATTGTTTGTTTTGGCATTCACTAAAATTATTCGAGGATCTTTCCATTTTGAGCATGTATGATCCAGTTTTCGTTATATCGATTGGATTGTATGAGATTCGCTCAACATCGTAGATTCAACCTCGTCGTCGTGGTTTTCATCGTGGTCGTCGCTATCGTAATCAAGGTAGTAGTGTTCGTCATCGTCGCGGTCGTCGTCGTACTCAACGAAATATCGTCATTGCCATCGTCGTGGGAATCGTCACCATCGCCATCGCGGTCGCAGTCGTGAGGGTCGTCGTCGTGCTCAACGTAATCGTCACTGAAATCGTCGTGGTAGTCGTCATCATCGTCGTCATCGTGGTCGCAGTCCTTGCTGTCGTCGTCGTCATAAACGTCACTGTCGTAGTTCGTCGTTGTTCGTCGACGTCATGCTGTTCGTGGCCATCGTAGCCATCAGCGTCGTTGTACTCGTAATCGTGGTCGTGGTCAAGGTCGTCGTCGTCTTCGTCGCATAGTCGTCGTCGTAGTCGTCGTTCTTTCCTCCGCCGCCGCATATGACCCCACCAGCCCTTGAGGGAGCTGGTGGTCTAGAGCGCTTCTTCGAGTGGCCCCCGATCATTCCCCGTGCTCGGGGAGGTTCACCTTCCCCCCCCTGGGTCTGGACGGGCGAGGGGGATATATAAGGGGCGACATATGTCAGAGCGCGTTTCGTTATATTTGCCCCCCCCCCCCCCGAGATGTCTCCACTAAGGCCCTAGAGAGCCCAGGTGGTCTCCAGGTTGGCCCAGGATATTTCAGGACGGCGTAAGATGACCTCCGACGCGCTTCCAAAAAAGGCTACAAAACGGTCCGAGGATGGCCCCAAGTGCCACCCGGACCCACCACGGGCGCACCCAAAACGCCAAAATCCGAAACCCAAAGAACATTAATGTTGTCGCTCCATTTTCGCCGCTTCGCTTCCGATGGGTTTCTTCGAAACCTCAAGAGGGCCCCAAGACGGCCCGAGAAGGCCCCGCGGGGGGCCCAAGAGGGCCACAATACGGCACCCAAGGCGCCCACGAGCGCTCCAAGAGCGGCCCAAGAGGGCCCCGAGACGCACGCTTTTGAAACATCCGAATATGGGGGGGAGGGGGGGGGGGCGCCTGACAATAGTCGTCGCCCTCCCTTGTCAGCCGCGGCCTCCAAACCCCAAGACGGCCCCGGGGGCACCCCCAGATCCCCGAGCGCCCCAGCATGACCCCGAGACCCTCCGCGCCCCCCGCGACCCCCCCCCCACCACCACAGAGCCCCAGGAGGGCCCGTAGAAAGCCCCAGGAGGACCCCAGAAGAGCGACAATGTAGCTACAATTGACCTTCGGGAACCTCTCGCAGCAGCACCTGGCTGGATGGGCCGGCAAGGGAAATGCGAAGCGCGCCAGGGGCCCCCTCATCTCCTCGGGGCGGCCGTCGAGGAGGGCGATGCGGATGGCGAGGAGAGGCAAGATGAAGCACGGGCGAATGAGGGAAGGATTGTATCGCGGGCTATTTCATTAGTGCTGCCGCCCCAACCGCCGCGGTGAGACTGTACTAGGACGAGACTTATCTATTGATACAATCGGCTATTGTTATGTTCCGGGAATTCCAGGATTTCCCGTGGATCCCGTGGGGGGGTGCACATGGTGGGCGTCATTGCCGATCGTATTGCGTGCCCTCGGTTGTTCTTGGCACCCACTAAGCAGAATTCGCCACGCGGGCACCTTCTCGATGAGCCGACGTCTAATTGCACGTCTCTCGAGCCGAAGTGGTACAAACACCCTCGCGGCATGTGCTGAACTGTCAGAACGTTCCCCACAAAGTGATGCGTGTGTGTCCAGACATCATGGGCTGCACTGCGTCGAAAGGGAACACACGTGGGCCCACACGTTGGCAACAGAAGCGCGGCCTCCCCTCGAAAACGTGCTCGAGGGCGCGCTTCCTCTATAGAGGCCCACGCGGATAACGTTCCTGCCACGGACGTGGAAGTGAACCTCGCTCCACCAAACGAAACCGCAACGTAATAGACACATCAGAACAATATTCAAAACTCGGCTGGGCCACCGCCAGAATGGCGCTTGCAAGTTGCACCCACCACCGCGCCAGTGGCACACTCGGGAGTTCGAGTGATTACATCTTGTCAGGCGGGAGTTTCGGTAGCGTTTCTATGGGCCACCACCCCCTCTTGTTGCAAGCGGGATCCGAAGGCTGCCCTGTCCGATGTTGTTTCCAGGCGCCCGTGTTGGCATCCAGGCGGGTCCCACGCAGCCAGACAAAAACGCCGCTGAATGCCAATAGGGCGCTCCAGATCAATCCAGAAACGGACCAACGAGCCTGCAAGGGTTCCCAAATCGCCCCCACATGCCTCAAAGGGGCCCTCAGGCCACCAACGTCTGTTCAAGGAAACCTCCAACGAGGCCTCATATGCAACATGCAATCAAGAAGCTCCATAAATCAATGTCTTCCGTTTTTGAAGCTGTTGGTTGCAGATCTCCTCGTCCAAGTCTCAGACAAACCTAGAGGCCCCTCAGGACATTTTCAATGATGGCCCTACGACGGCCCCGACGAGGCCAGGCAGCACCCGACGGCGGCCCAATATCACTCAGAGAGGGCCCCAAGACAACCCCAGGGCCCGCTCTCAGGGCCCCAAGACGGCCCAATTGAGCTTCCTCGGGGTCGATTCCTAGACGATTGCGCCCAAAAGCGACCCTCGGTCCCAAGAAAAAGTACAAGCCCCGCAAAAGGCCGCTAGAGGGCCCAACGAAGCCCCCAAAACACTTTCAAATATCCCATGAAGAAGCCTCCCAACAGCTGCCCATAAGCTTTCAATGGGGAAGAAAGAGAAGGATGAGGAAGCGGAGGAGGGAGGAAACAACAGCATTATGAGGCTGCGGCCAAAGATGGCGCAAGAATAGGGCGGACGGACCTTAACGTAAAGATCACTCCCGCTGTTCTGGGGCGTCGGCGCGGCGGCGGGTTGCCGCAGGCAGCTGGATAACAACCCGAACGAACCAAACCAATATCATGTTCCTCCTCCCCCAGTCCCTGACCAATTCCCCCTTTTCCCTCTCCCTCCCCATGTCCCTTCCCCCCCTTCTAGCATTCCTCCTCGTTCCCCCCGCCCTTTTCCCAATCCCCTGCCCACGCCTGTTTCGCCCCACCATCCTTCCCCAAAAAAGGCGGTGACCGAAGGCAGGGGGCGAGGAAGGTCAGACTTCGACCCTGTGGGGGGGGATGAATACACGCGAACACGGAACAGCTGAAGTCCCCATGGCAAGGCGCAATCTCTCCATCCAAAAATCCACGGGAACCCAGGCCCCCACCTTCGCCGGAACTCGCAACCACGCACGTGACTTTCAAAAGCAGGCGCGCGTGAAACAAACTGGCATGCAAAAGAACTCCCCGTCACCCCCGAGCCCCCTGCCCGCCCGGACCTTCCGCGCGAAATGGCGATATTGTGACAACACTCCCTGATCCTGCTCGTCCCGGCATAACTCTCTCAGAACCCCATAAGCACAGGAACGAAATGCCGCAGCGGGCACGGGGCAAACGACGCGAGGCCGCGGCTCGGAACGCCCCCGCGACAGGAGGGCGCCAGCTGTTAATATGTTATGGTGAAGCGCCTCCCGATGTGCTCACAAGATCGGCCACGGGCGCTCAAATTTGGAACCTGGGTTGTAGACCTCGCATCGACACCACGCGAGACGGAGCAATAGCTTACCAGAGCCAATGTGGCCCCATTTGAAAAAGCTCGCCGATCGAGTCTCTTTCGTGGAAGGCCAAAACAACTGCCATCGAAGGTTCACGACATCGCAATAAAACCGCTAGCCCACAAGAGGTTTGGGCAGCCGCGCGCGTGAGATCCTCAATTGCTGAAAGATGCGTGCTCGAAGGGCCCGCGTGCGCCGTAGCTGCGCTCGTCGGCCCTCCTCCACGATAGCGTAAACATATACGTGCGCGCGACGGGGTCATCTTCACCTCCTGGCAGGAGCGGCATCCCAACAACGCTACCATTGAAAGGTTTCCTGGACCCCGCCTGCGGTCCGCCGCCAAACATGCCGCCGCTCGCCAAGGGTGCGAGAAAGCGCGGAGACGTCAAAATGGTTGTTGGAAAACGCACGCTCCCCAAAAAAACAAGTCGATGATCGAACGCGTGTCCCTTGACAGGAACGTACCAATTGGTCGGTTCGTGCGCCCGCGAGGTTCTGACCCCCCCCCCCCCCCGCAAAAAAAGACCTGGCTCAGACATGCAGAGCAATGGCTCGACATTTGCGCCTGGCGGCAAAGAATCGCTGAGCACGCGAAAGAAAGAAAAAAGGGGGGGGGGAAGAAACAAACAAAAAAAAAAAAAAAACGGAGCGATTCTCAAGGGGGTCGGCTAGAATGTGAAATGACCCGTTTAAGCTACAGGCGGCAGCGAACAGGCGAAGCCCGCAGAATAACGCTGTCATCGGGCGGCAGGAAGGCGCGGACAGATTCTACCGTCCAGTGGTCATCTACTGGGGCCAAAGGGAACTTCTTAGGGAAAACTTTCCCTCCGACGACCTTGGTCGCGGGGTGCGCCAGCTCCGCTTTAGCGGCAGCCTTTGCCTTTGCCTTGGGTTTTGCCTTCGGCAGAACCTTTTTTTCCAAGAAACGTACTCATTCGTGAAATCCGCCTTGGAGGAAGCATGCTTGGCGGCATCATCGACCACCTGTTTCGCACCCTTTCTCTCTGAGTCCTCCAACAGATCAACAGCGCCCTCCTCTGCGAGGAACTCGTCATACACGCTGTGGGACGCGCGGCGTTTTTGCATGATGTCAGCGAGCTCTTGGGCAGATAAGGCTGGGCAAGCGTTCTGAACGCAGGCTTTTACAATGTCGAACAAGGTTGCCGTCGGTAGCACGCCAACCTTCCTATGCAGGGCAAGCTGCAACATTGGCGTTTTCGGCAAAGTCCAGAAAGCATTGCGGGCGGCTACCTGCCACAACCCTTGCTTCCCGCCTGCTTGAGCACAGACGGGGCCTGTCGAATGACTGACCCCCGTCAGGCATTTCACGCGCAGAGGGCCAATCCACTGCAGAGCAAGAGCACCCCAATCATCCACATCCCAAATATGCAACCACTTCAAGTCCGACATGGCGATGCCGAGCTTTGGGCGGTAGAAGACATAACCTGCGACATTGATGTTTTCGGCTGGCCACCCGATGCCGCACACGCCGCCCAAAGCAGCTGTTGGAAAATACATCTGGTCACCCTCGCCTGTTCGGCACACGAGCGAGTTCCGATCACACCACAGCAGAATGCTCAACCAAGACGTCTCTATGCCGTTCCACCGGTTGGTCGCATTCGCATGGCGGTACACTTCGAGATCCGCAACCAAACTCAGCCACCCCATGGGCGACGGCGACGGCCAAGGTGGGGCTTGTTGTCCAGATACTATGCGCGATGCGTTTGGCAGAGAACAATTCCGAGGCTTGCAGGTGAAGAATGATGGAGGAATTGACCCAGCAAAGCCCCTCGGAACCTCGGTAGTTTGAACATCTACTTCCTCGTAACGGCGCACTCCAGAAATCCGCCGCGCCGCCGCAGCAACGCACCTGGGGCGAAGATCAGAATCTGAGTGCGCAGAAACTCACAGTGACGCCGCTTTGCGGGAGAGGGGGCCGTCGGTTTGATGATGCACTGGGAGAGCGACCTCGCAACAACGCCCCTGCACGCTCGACGGGGCCCCGGGTCCTGCAGAGCCACCGAAACGGCGCCCGAAAAAAAAAAAAAAAAAAAAAAAAAAAAAAAAAACGCATTCAACATTTGACGGGATTGCCGTCGACGCGACCAAGCACCAATACAGAGGATTGCCGTAGACGGGATTGCCGTAGACGGGATTGCCGTCGACGAGACGGGATTGCCGTAGACGGGATTGCCGTCGACGGGAACCCGAGGCGAGGGGCATTCGGCAACCAAACACCAATACAGATTCGGCAGTTGCCCAACTTGCCCACGCCCAGAGAAAAAATGCGGCGCTGCACGTCGATGCGACCGCCCCCGGGGAGGCAGCAATCAATGCAAAAACAATCACCAAACAACCCGCCTCGAGACAACAATGACAAACAATTGTTCGCCGCGCTGGGGCCCGCGGGCCCCTCCCCCCTGGGAACCAAGAAACATCGGGCGGCGGGCCTCCCCGACAGGGGTTCGCAGGACTTTCCCATGCACGGGCGTCATCCAGGCCCTGCTCTGTGCCACGCAGCGGCTGGCATGCATCGTTTCTCCGTGCCTTTCCTTCTGCCAGCCGTCCTCAACTATCTTCGACGCCCCGATGGTCGAAAACATGTCTCGTATAGATTGCTCCACCTCAGGCGTCCAAACCCAGCCTGCCCCGACCAGCATCTGGACGATCTGGCAAGGGTGTTCTTAAGAATCGGCGCTGGCGCACAGAAGTTTAGGCCGCGGAGGCCCCCGAGGGGATTTCAAGGGACCTCTGGGGCCGTCTCCCGCTGCTCTGGGGCCCCCAATCGGACCTCCGAGAGATTCCGGCCCCCCCGATCGGAAATCCAGAATTCGGGATTGCCGATCGGACTTCCGAAGGCCACCCGGCCCCAGGGGGGGCAATTTTGTTAACGTGGCGTGGGGTTGTTTTCTTACACTGCTCAACATGAGGTTGGCCTGTTTTATTGCGTTCCCAGTATATGGGGAGCTTGGAACACCTCCGTGGCGCAACCCAAAACCCCCCATAAAACTACCAATAACACTTCTGATTGACTGGCTGACTGATTGACAGACAAGCGCCCGAATTGCGAGGATGCGTCGAGCGGCGGCCCACGGCCCCACCTGCCCCGAAGCGCCCCTGGTCGCTCGGGCGCAAAAACGCATGCGCGGCTGCTTGCAGGCCTTCGTCATCGTCATCGGCTTCGTCGTCGGCGTCATCGCACGTAACGCTTCGCGTCTCGGGTGACCTTTGGAAACCTCCGCGTTCCCCCCGTCGCCGACGTCCCGCCCCCGCCTCCCCCGCCACCCTCCTCTCAAGCCTCCCCCCTTCACCTCTCTGCCCTATCCCCGCCTGGCCCCGTTCGCCCCCGCCCTCCCCCGACCCCCCCCCCCTTTCGGCCCCGTGCTCTCCCCGTCTCTCCCCCTCCCCTCCCCCCCGCCCACCTGCCCAGGGCGCTAGTCAGTTCCACCCCAGTAATGGGAAACGCCGTCCTTGTCAACGACGACAAGTCTGAAGGGGGAGCGGGCAATGAACTTCTTCCACGACTTGGCTGTCTGGACTTCCTGCCCGCTGCCAGGCCGCGTGCACCTCCTGGAACCAAGCAGGGATCCGAGGGCGCGCAGTTGGGTCCAAGAGGCCGGCGAAAGCTCCAGGGAGCCCGCGCGTGTACGCCATGTGGCTTGCCAGACGCCGAGACAGCAGACTCATGGTCAGGACGCCGGCGCTCTCGGCCAGCTTGTCTTCGTTCAAAACGTGCGGGTGCAGCGCGTGGAGATCGGCTTCCGACGCGGCCGGTGGCGACCCGAAACCAACGTGGCGCAGCCCGTCCGGATCCGCAAGCCGCGCAACCAGAGCGGTGAGGGCATGGAAACCCTTGCCCGCGGCCTGCTCCTGATACCATCGGCAGCACTCTGAGCTGGATCGCAAATTCGTGGACTGCTCGGTGCGCCAGGCCCGCACAGGCTCGCACACGTAGACAATGATGCTGCACATTTCCCACAAACTCCGGTCTGACAAACAAACGACGGCGAGATGCATGGTATTTGTGCATGCCCGCCGCAGCTTCTTCAGCGCATCAGACTCCTCCGCAGTTGTAGCCTTGCCGACGTCCTCGAGACCGAAGGGCTTCATGTCCGCCGTAGGTGCCAACGCTTTTTGATTGGCCTCTCCGAGGACCCCCAAGCTGATGCACACGAACAAATATGTCAGGAGCCGAGTGTGCCAGTCCTTCAAGTACGCGTTCATGGCGTCCACCCAGCCAAACCATCTCGCCATGCCAATCTTGTCCGACATGGTCGCCCACGCGCCTTTCAATCCAGAGAACGGAGATCCCTCGTAGTCGTCCTTTCCAAGGTGGGCATGATCCCCGCGATCGTTGACAATCTTGGGAAACAGCAGCTGCCACGCAGGGCATTTGTCTGGGCTGGTCAAGCCAACATATGCGTTGATAGCCTCTCGGGCCTGGGAGTACCAGCGCGCGTCTTGCCAAGGGCCGTGGTCCGCAGCCCCCTGGGGAGGGGCAGACTGGCAAACCGTTCCCCGCATCTGTTCCGCAAGATCAAGCCAACTCCGTTGGGGGGGCCCTGGAAACGTCGCCGGGGGGCACATTCGCCGCGGGCCCGCGGGCCCGCGGCCTGGCGGACCCGACGGCCCAAGCTCGCCCCTGGACCGCGACCCGCCGCAAATGCCCCCGTAGGCAGATGGACTTCCCCCCAAGGGGCCATCCGCGGCGGCTGCTCGCCAAGGCGACCCGCCGCCTGGAGACAGCCCCGCGGCGGGCCCCCCCGCCCTCGGGCCCTCCCCCACCTTGGGAAAACGCAGCGGGCAACCTGCTAAACGCGCGCTCGCGCCCCCGATCGGGGCATCGCTCCGACGCCAGAATGAAAACTCCGTGCGGGCGCAGGCCCTGCGCCGATAATGAAACCCCGGGGCGCCGGCGGAATTGCGGAGCATCGTGGGTCCATATTAAGGACGACGGTCATGAGGTCCACCGCGGCCCACATGTTGCTATCCTTCAGAGCCAGCTGGCAGTCGTTCCAGCACCTGTGCGACGGGTCCGGCAAGGGCAGGATGGCGAACGGGATCGCGGACGACAGGAATTGCACGGCGGACCAACCGTCGCTTCCTTGGTCCAAGCAGACGGCGAGCGTCTTCCACTCCGCCGGGGCTGGCCTTTCCTCCAGCTTCTCGGGGAGAACGAACCTACTGAGGCCGCCTCCTGTCGCGACCTGGAGCATCCGATCCAGCGCCAAGAGCCACTTGTATGCTTTTGTGCGGTAGCGTATCTTTTTCCTGTCTTGGGGTCCGTCCCCGGCCTCCTTCTTCCAGAACGCGGCGGCGTCGGTGCACCAGCGCCCATGGCGCAACGCAGCCGCGGCGGCGTCCCCGTCGGACAGCGCCTCAGCAGAAGGGAGGTCCAGGTCGGCCAAAACCTGCGAGCGACCGCACCCAGGTGACGCCCGCCAATTGCCATGCACCGAAGGAGGGGTCAGCGGCGCGCCCCCCCCCCCCCCCCCCCCGCACCGTCCGCAAGGGGGGGCCTTGTGGGGCTCGCCATCGCTCTTGGGGCTGGCCCGAAAATGGCCGCCCTTCCTGGGGCAGACCCAGGGGGCCCTTTGACGCGTTCCAGAATTGCGTCCGGAACGCTGCCAAACTGCTTTTTGAAAAATTCCAAACTAATGTTTTAAATTTTCCAAACCAGTTTTTGAAATTTTCAAAGAAAAAATGAAAAATTCCAGAAATCAAAAATCCTCGGATGTCAGGCGCGCCGGGGGCACCAATCACCCTGAAAGTGATTTTTGAAAAATTCCGGGCCCCTTTGTGAAAAATTCCAGGTTCCATTCTGGAGCCAGAAAACCCAAACCAATATCAGAAGATGTCTGGGTCCTTTTCCAGATGAGCCTGGCGCGCCGTTTTACAGAATCCAAGCCCAGGCGCCAGGCCCCTGAAATTCCTGCGCGGGGGGGGGGGGGGCCTCGGCGCGCCGCCCTCGGAGCTGCCTCGGGAGGTTTGCGGGGGCACCGCTTGCGAGCCCAGGGCGCAATTGGCGGGGGCCACATGGCGCGGTTGTCTGGAGTGGAAGCCACGCCCAAGAGGGTTGCCCTCTTCGAAAGTCTCGAAGCGTCCACCGCGACGCCCCACGTCGTGGACGACAAAGCTGCTGCCCGGCTCGAGAAACCCGCCCGCCCCACACGCGGGGCCCCTGACGCCGTGAACACCCAGCTATCGTGCGCCCCTTCGCACCTGGGGCGCCCGTAAAGCAATGCCTTGGGCACCGTCTGTGGGGCGCTCGTCTACCGCGCGCTCTAGACCCAGCCCGCGGCGCACCGCGCCCTTCGGCGAAAGCACCCTACCCGGGCCAGGGCGGGCCCCACCGCGCCACCCCAGCTCCTCTCCAGGCAGACCCGCTTGGGAAAGACGGGCCGCTCATCGCGTGGCCGGGCGGACAGTCTGGCGAAGCTTTTTGAATAATAGTTTACGCAATCCCGAAGGACCCCGCCCTTGTCTCGGAGTCTGCCCCGCAAGGACTTCGCTCTGTCGGAAAAAACGCATTGCCAAGCAGCCCGTCGGGCGGCATCTCCCGCGAAGCGCCCTCCACCCCCCGTCGGGCAGGCGTCCGAAGCGGCGCCTGTCGGGCCGAGGTCTGGCGGCGCCTGCCAACCGGAAAGGAAATCCCGAAACGCCCTTGAAAGGGGCGTGGGGGCCCGCCTTGGGCCCGCAGGCAAAACCTCGAGGTTGGCAGCGAGAAGACTCGGCGCAACTTGGGCCCCCTGCCCGGAGGGGGTGCGGGGATCACCTGCGGAAGACGCGGACCTTCGGCGCCGCTGCCAGCTGTTCCACGGGTTCCGCTGCGGGCGCCGCGCCCCAGTCGACAGCCGTCAAGGATTTCTCAACAAAATGGCCGACGCGGTGCGCGAGCTGCTTCCATAGGCTCTCGCTCCGAAGGCCGCCGCTCGCCAGGCGCACAAGGAATTCCACCAACTCCACGCCAGCGACCCACTCGGCAGGCTCGAAAGATGGCACGCGAGAGACACAAGGTCCAAACCCGCCCAAATGCACGATCCCACGACGAATGTGCACTGGGAACGGCCCCTCCCCCCGAATAGGCGAACTCGGATCCGCGGACGCGTTGCCGCCTCCGTGCAGAATAAAAGTTACCTCATCTTTCTCGGCGACCTCTCGGATCAAGGCGAAAAGCATGAGCCGCCAACGATCGTTATTGCGCCTGGCCTTGGCGCCCATCGCCCACATGTTATTTGCTGGTCTCGCAAGCCGGCAGAAACAAATCAGCAGCGCAAACGTGCTCAAGGTCGTTTCGGGCAACGCCCGGGCCCTGGGGCGATCAGCCAAAACACATCGCCCCATTACCCCCCCTATGGGATGCGGGGCGCCCCCATCGCCACTCCTGCATGGCACGGGGAGCGCCCGGGCAAGCCCGTGGTAGGCAATGGTGAGCAAACCTATCAGTTCAGGACCGTGGCTCCTGAGCTCCCCTGGCCCGCGAGCTACGGAAACAGCCGGCGTATTCTTCGTGGCGACGGCCCTCCGGACGTGCGGGTCCACGAAGCCCAGACGTGCACAAACCTCTTCCCGCCCGCCGATTCGGTCTTGCAACCATTGGCCAGGCTTCGCCCTGGCCTCGACTGCTGCATGCTTGAACCAACTCCTCTCGACGTTCCAAGACCACCAAAACTCGCGCGCCTGCGGACGGCATAGAAAACATGTACACATCGACCTGCTTCTCAACGCCATCATCAGGCACGAGAGCACGATGCCTACGGCGCTGGCTCCGGCACTCTTGCCACCGGCGCAAATCTCCAGAAGGCTCAAGGACAAACAGACAACCACTCCCTGGACCTGCAACCCTCCGAGAGGGCGACAGCGTAAGAAGTATCCGCGCTCCGCGCCCTGCCTCCCAGAGACATGTCAGTTGAAATGACCCGGAAATGGGAGAGAGGACAACGCCGTCGGTCCCAGACTCATAAAATTCGGCAAGGACCGAGGGTCCGGCCCCCACATTGCCTGGAGCCCCCCCAGAACATCCCCGGCGATTTAGGGGGAGGGTCTGGGGAGGGAGGGCGGCCAAAGAATGGAAGACCCATCCATATTGGGGAAACCTGGAGGTCTGGTACCTGGCCCCCTTCGGGCCCACTCGGGGCCCGCTTGGCCTCTCCGATGCCTCTTGGGGCCCTATCGGGGCTGCCCCCTATTTGAATCTGCCGGGATCGATGCCCTGGAGAACGACCGCCTGCGCCTTCGGCGACAGCGACATGGCGGCGCGCCCCAGGGAGCCAAGTGCTCGCAAGGCTCGGCGGGGCGCGGCCTATTTGAATATTCCAACAACCGGTTCTGGATAAACTCAGCACAAGATTGTGTCACTGGTCCACTGTGGAGCTCTCCGAAGCCATCCTCATCAAACGTGAGTGTCCATGGCGGCTCCGCGGCTGGCAATGGAACGCACACGCCCAAATCGGAATGCGAAAGAAACTGTTCACTGGAATCCGGGTCGCACGCCAACCGTGCGCGCCCACGATCGGGCACTTCCCGAGGATCCATAGCACGCTCGAGCCACATGGTTATGGCGCCCGGGCGTGGCAGGTGAGGGGCGTGTCGTGGATGCCCGGGCTTAGTGTTGCGTTGTTATGTCTGCGTTGTTGTCGTCATGAGTTGTGTTTTTTGTCTGTTCGCTCTTGTCGTATCGTCGAATAAACAGCGCGTTGTAGTTTGGTGTCATTATGCTCTTTGGACCGCACTGCTGATTTGCATGGCATGGCGTTACTGTTTGGTGCTATGTGTCTTCGTATGTGCTCTTGGTTTGCGCTACTTGCTGTTTTTACTGTCTCTGGTGCAGGTGTGGGGATTGCATTGTGTTTGTAGCGCTGCGTTGATTGTGCTGTGTACCGTGGATGACTGGCGTAGTTGTCTTAGTGCGCATGTTTGCTGCGAGTTTTGATTGCCGCGCCGCACTCGGACGCGCTGAGTCCGCAGCACCTCGACACTGGGATGCTTCTGTGCATCGCAACTTTCAGGTCCGACACGCAACGAGGAAGCCCCTTGGTCTCCGCGCCCCATGGCCGAATGATCAGGGTGATGGGGAAGACGGAAGGGGCTTGGGGAACGCCCCCTGACAGTCACTCCCGGGGCCTTCCGCCACGGAGAAAATAAATTGCACCACACCTTGGGTCGCCTGGAACATAAAACTGGCGTGGGAGCAATGCGAAGCCCCCGCTGGTCAAGACACGGCCGCGGTGCCCCCCTGCCCCTGGGCCCCCCCTGGCCCCCCCGCCCGCCTG